GTTCTGGGCCCTCTTCTCTTCTCTCTGTAATGTCTCATTTGGTGATTTCATTAGATCACACAGATTCCTTTGCAGATGATTCTCAGCTATATTTATCCAATCCTAACCTCTCCCCTCATCTCCAGTCTTGCCTTTCCAACTGTCTGCTGTACACCTCAAATTGAGTGTCCTATAGACATCTTAATTCCATCACGTCCAAAACTGAACTCGTCTTTTCCCCCCCAAACTCTCTCCTCTTTCCTATTATTGTGAAGGTCACCATCATTCTCCCAGTCATACAGGTTCACAACCCATGTATCATTCTTAACACCTCAGTCACACTCAACTCCCCCACATTTAATCATTTGCCAATCCTGTAGATTCTATCTTTGTTACATCTCTCAGGTACATAACCTTCTCTCCTTTGACACTGCCACTACCCTAGTGCAGGCCTTCATTCTTTCACATTTGGATTACTACAATAGCCTACTGGTTGGTCTCCCTACTTTGTCTCTCTCTGGTACAATCTATCCTCCACTCAGCTATCAAAGTGATCTTCCTAAAGCATAACGCTATGTCATACCCTTTTCCTCACCACCACCATCCTCAATAAAGTCTACTGTCTCCCTTACCTCAAGGATTAGATACATAATTCTCTATTTGTCTCTTAAAAGACCTTCATAACTTGTCCTTTTTCTACATTTACAGATTTGTTATATCTTATTCCCCTCCATATACTTTACAATGACATTGGCCTCTTTGCTCTTCTTCCCACAAGATGCATCTCCCTATTCCATGTATTTTTAATGGCTGTCCCTATGTCTGGAAATCTCTCCCTCCTTGTCTCTGCCTCATAATTTCCTTTAAATATCAACTAAAATTTCACCTTCTGAAAAAAGCCTTTACTAGTTCCCCTTAATGCTAATGCTTTCCCTTTGAAATTATCTATAATTTATCTTGTATATAGCTTGTTTGTACATAATTGTTTGCATGTTGCCCCCCCCATTAGATTGTGAGCTCCTTGAGGGCAGGGACTGGAATAACATCTGACATATAGTAGGTGCTTTTAAAAATGCTTGTTGACTTCACTTGTATTGATGGCATATTTCGGATGCTGACAGCTGGAGTAAATTTTAGATATATCATTTTAATTGATAGGCTGTATATATTTTATATAACAAAATGCAATGTAATTTATTGTTTTTCCTTTGTTTAGCTTTTATGAAAACTTTAATATGCCAACAAAATGCAAAGTAATAAAATATTGCTGGGACTCTATTAGAAATCCTTTCCAGCTCAGGAGGAACCTTATAGAGTTTATGCTTCACTGACATAGCCTTCCGACACCCAGAGTCATCTCCATGTCATGATAAAGCATTAGAATAGGAAGTTAGGATTTTAAAGTGCATAAGAGATAACTTTTCATCTTTTAAACATTTCAATATTTATATTTTTTCAGAATCAAGTGTGGATTTTACTTGTATAGAAAATGCTGTGTAAAAGAAATTATTTCATTCTTTGATAGAAATATGGCACTTCTGAACTGACCTTCAAATTATTCAATGGATAAGCAATTTGGACCCAAACCTACAGTGCAGTCTTGGCAGAAATAAAGACTACAGATTAGCAAGCTTGCTCAGCCCTGCTACATTCAAGCAATGTTTTGTTTGAGCTCTAGGGAATAGACTTTAAAGACCTAGTGCAACTATTGTCAGTCAGTCAGTCAGTGCTTACTATGTTCCAGGCACAATGCTAAGTGTTGATAATACGAAGGCAAAAACACCATCCTTACCCTCAAAGAGTTCACATTCTTCCCCCTCCCCAATTTTTAAAACACTTTTATTTAAAGTTTTGAGTTCCAAATTTTATCTCTCCCCTTCTCCTCCCCCTTTCCTAAGACAGTAAGCAATTAAATATAGGTTATACATGTGCAATTTTGTAAAACATTTCCATATTAATCATTTTGTACAAGAAGACTCAAATAAAAGAAAAGAATGAAAGAAAGCGAAAAATACCATGCTTCAGTCTGTATTCAATCAATATAATTTCTTTCTCTGGAGGTGGATAGTATGCTTCATCATTAGTCCTTTGGGATTATCTTGGACTATTGTATTGCTGAGAACAGCTAAGTCACTCACAATTCTTCACTGAACAATATCGCTGTTACTGTGTACAACATTCTTCTAGTTCTGTTTACTTCATTATGCATCAGTTCATGTAAGTCTTTCCTGAAATCATCCTGCTTGTCATTTCTTATAGCACAATAATATTCCATTACATTCATATGCCACAGCTTGTTCAGCCATTCCCCAACTGATGGGCATCCTTTTGATTTCCAATTCTTAGCCACCACAAAAAGAGCTGCTATAAATATTTTTGTACAAATAGGTCCTTTTCCCTTTTTGGGCTATCTTTGGGATATAGACTTAGCGATGGTATTGACAAATCAAAGAGTATGCACAATTTTATAGCCCTTTGGGCATGGTTCCAAATTGCTCACCAGAATGGTTGGATCAGTTCGCAACAAATTTAACAGTGCGTTAGCGAACGAACTCACATTCTAATTGGATTTAAGACAACCCTTCTTAATCTTTGCCAGTGTGTGGCTTTGTGTCTTTTTCATTAGAGGAAGGAGTCAAATTGGTCCAGGGAAAATCTGAAAGGAGTAAAGACTATATAATGAAGAGCAGAGGTGAACAAAGATTAAGAAAAGAGTAGAGAGGGGAGAAAGAAACTGCCTGAGGCTTTTAGATAAGAGCAGAAGAAAAAGGTGATGAGAGGCAAGCATTGTTTAACAACAATCTCTATACCAGTGATAAGTCAAATCAAAGATTATTTCTTATTAATATGGAATGTGTCACAAATGGAAGAAGTAACATATAGGAGAATTTTCTTAATCTGTTCAATACCTTGACAATAAGGGAAACTAGTTTGGTGAACTAGGAGTCATTTTAAATTACAAAACAATTGCACAAAACATAAAACAAATAAAACAATTGCATTTTGAATAGTGCACATCTAATTCTGTGTCACATGGTACAATTCCATGTGAAAAAGATTAATAAAATATTGAGCAATAATTTTTAAAAACCCTCACTCATGAATGAGACTCTTCTTTTTGAAAAATTTGATTCACTTACTTAAAATCTATTAAAAATTATGTAAGGAAGCACCAAATATCCAGCTTCAGCATTCTGATTTCTAAATTCCTAGCTGCTTTAAGAGTAAAACTTACATTTATTATCACAGTCCATATTATATTATAGATACTTCTTACTTTATAAAGTATGTGTTCCTGAAAAATTGTCCATAAATCAAGTTGCTTTATATTGAATTTTTCTATTCATTTCTGCCATTAAAATTTTTGGTGTGAACACATAATAAAAATTACATTTAAGATTTTTTAAATAGTCCCATAATAAAAAATTAAAATTAGTATTTTTCTGATAATAGTAACTCCTTAAATCATCACAATGAACAACAAATCTAAAGAAAAACAATGACACTACAACAATGCAACACACTGGACTAAAGTTACTCAACATCTATTAAATACTCCATTCTTCTATAGTGGGATGAATGTTGGTGCTCAAGTTCTATTTCCTGGCATGCTATGGAAGCTCCTAGCTTTTAAATATGAAGAGGATAATGTAGGCTGAAGAGGGGATTAGACAGAAACATAGAAAAGGCAACAAATTAAAATACAGCAATGAAATAATTTGAAGGACATTTATTGGACCATACAATATTGATAGAGAAAGTGCATATTTATTGAAACATAGTTGACATGATCTGATAATAAAATTATTTTAAATAATTTCTTGATTTTTAATTCAATCATTTCACATTTCTTTTAACAAGATATGCTTATAATTATCATTGGATGATGATTTATTTTTAGTGTGGTAGAGTGGAGAAGCTGAGAATTAACATACTTGAGGTTTAGTCTCAGTTTAAATTAGATATGTAACTTCGGGTAAAGAGAGGTTTGACCTCTTCTCTATAATGAGGCATTTGGCCCCAGATCAAGGGTTCTTAACTTTGTTTGGCAAAGCCTATGGACCCCTTCTCAGAATATTTTTAAATGCACAAAATAAAATACACAGGATTACAAAAGGAACCAATTACATGGAAATGCTTATCAAAATATTTTTTTAAAAGAAGTTCATAGACTGCAGGTGAAGAATCCTTGGACTACATGATCTCTAAATTCCCTCCTAATTCCAGCAGTCTGTTTTAAGCCATTTTCTTTATTTTCCATCTTCCTAACCAGCTTATCAGCTCCACAGAGGTTGCCACGATGTCTTACATTGCTTTATCCCTTCATTGTGTCTAGTACAAGGCTTTGTATACTGCAGTTATTCAATGCTGTTTGACAAAAAAAAAAAGTTTACCTTTGGGCGAATATAACAGATTGTTCCATGGGAACCTTGGTGATTGTTTCAAAAGGGAGTACTGATCCTGGAAAGACTTATATGGTCTGATGCTGAGTGAAGTGAGCAGAACCAAGAGGACTTTGTACACAATAACAGACACGTAATGCAATGACTAATATTGTTAAACTGAACCCTTCTCAGCATTACGAGGATCTAAGACATCTCCAGAGGCCTCGGGATGGAAAATGCTGTCCATATCCAAAGAAAAAACTATGGAAGTCGAATCGCTATCACTTATTTTTACCTTCTGTTGAGTTTTGTTTCATCTTTCTGATGGTTCCTCCTATTGGTTTTAATTTTTACTTACAACTTCACTAATGTGAAAATATGTTTAATGGCTATGTAAATGTATGTGTGGTTTTTTTTTTTAGGCAATTGGGGTTAAGTGACTTGCCCAGGGTCACACAGCTAGTAAGTGTCAAGTGTTTGGTCTGAGGCCAGATTTGAACTCAGATACTCCTGAATTCAGGGCTGGTGCTCTATCCACTGCACCACCTAGCTGCCCCAATGGGTATGTGAATGTAAAGTCTATATCAGATTATGTGCCGCATTGGGGAGGGTGGGGGGGAGGAAGGGGGAGAAAAATTTTCAACTCAAAAGCATATGGAAGTGATTGTTGATAAATCAAAATAAATTAATAAAATTTAAAAAAAAAAGGGAGTACTGATGACAGCTGGGCTTATGAAAAACCATCATAATGATTAAATGTGATGACAAATGAAACTATGAGTAAGCTACAGTCCCACCGAAAGAATCTGCAGAAATACCAAAGTATAAATTGGTATTCTAAAAGTTATCTGTGTAAGTACATGCAGCAGAAGTTATGACTACTCACTGAACTGCTAAAATATATTTTCTATAATTCTGGGAGTGCTGACTAATTTAGTTCTATGAAGGATAGCCTGTTGTGGCTTTCTCCTTTCTGCAGTTTTAAGGATATGTCATTATACTAGGAGATATGAATGGAATCAGGCTATTTCTAAGTATTTTGGTTTTTCCATTTTTTTTAAACAAAGCAGATTAACTGACAAAACACTGGACTCAGGTTGTATTTGTAAGGTATTTTCTACATCCAGAAGTATTAAAAATGGGCTGAGAAACTTAATGGCTGCAGTATCAAGCAGATAAGCACATTTGACTAATGTCCATTTTTGATTAGGGATACACTATGACTGAGCTGTATTGGAAGCAGCACCCTGACAAAGCTGTTATCAATGTAGCATTTTGAATTCTCTCAAGAATGTGGCTCCTTCTAAATTAAAAGTTCATTACATTATTAAAATAATTACTTTCACTATTTAATATATTGTCTAAAATAAGCACCTATCTCAGAGAATGGTTTAGGCATCACCACTAGGTTTCCCCGGAAGGAAATTATTATACTAAAAAGTTAAACACAGTTAACATCCTCTCATTCTCATGTTCAAAGGAGGATAAAATAAAGAACTGATTCCCCAGAAAAACTGCCTACAATTCTAGCATCTGTAAATTTTGCCCCACTTATTGCACAGCACAGCAGAAAGAGAGCTCACCGTGGAATCAGGAAGACCTGGGTTTAAGTCCCACTTCTGACACACACTTGTTTTGTAACCCTTCACAAGACCTTTAACCTCTCAGTGCCCCTACTTAACTCTAAGACTGTGAAGTGCCAAATTCTATCAACAGAGAGGGTCTCCTTTTCTGGGAGTTCCCTGTACCAAAGAAATGGAAGATCTAGCCCTAGTCTCTACTACAAGAAGCTAGTTTGACTCGGCCAGTGCGTGAATTTTCTGATGCTGAATAAGGTTACAATGATAAATGAAGTTCTTGCCACACTCATCACATTCATAAGGTCTTTCTCCAGTGTGAATTCGCTGATGTTTGATAAGGACTGAGCGCCGGCTAAAACTTTTATTACATTGATTACACTGATAGGGTTTTTCTCCAGTGTGGATTCTGAGATGATGAAAAAGCCCTGCATTCTGACTGAAAGCTTTGCCACATACACTACACTGATATCGTTTCTCTCCTGTGTGGAGTCTCTGATGTTGGAAAAGGCCAGACCTCTGGCTGAAGGCTCTCCCACATTCATCACATTCATAAGGTTTCTCTCCAGTGTGGGTTCTCTGATGTTCAATGAGGATAGAATTCTGAGTAAAATTTTTCCCACATTCACCACATACATAAGGTCTTTCCACTGCAGGGTTCCCCCATTGTCTTTCTGATTTGCCTTCTCGTTCACACATTCCTCTACATTCAGGACCCCAGAGAATATCACAATTCAGTTTGTCAATTCTATCCATTTCTGTAGAAGTTTCCTGCTCTGGAGCTAACTCTCCATTCTCAATGCTGGTCTTGCCATCTAAAAGTTAAAAAAACAGATTATACACATATCAGCTGTTCTCTAGGCCTGAAGAAAGGCCCCCGAGGGTGGGAGTTGGGGTAAAGAGGATATTTTAGCTGAAACCAATTCACTGAGAATACATGATTTGAATATGACTACAAAAGGTTCTTAGATGGAGAAACAGAAAGGAGGTTCAGGTAGGATGGCAAAAATAGTAATGTGTACTATAAATAGGCCAGGTAAAAAGGACAAAAATAAGAAGAGCCTGACAGATGATCACAGTAGAACATGCGTAATTTAGAATAGTTTAATGAATTCACTAGAAGCTACTTCTATTCTCTTCCACCCATAAGACCAGGAAGAGAGGTAGACATATTCCTTGTTTCCTACTACTGTTTTATTTTAATTAAATTTTCCTTTCAAACAAAGATCAGCCTTCTCTGCCTCCCACTTCCCTTGGCACCACCATTCCCTTCCTCCATCATTGAGAAAACATGACAAAACCCGTCACAAACATACATAGTCAAGCAAAACAAAATTTCTCTCTAGCCTTGTCTAAAAAAGTTTTGTCTTAATCTGTGCTCTGAGTCCATCACTTCTATCAAAAGGTAGACAATGTTTCACCATGAGTTTTCAGGAACTATGGTTGGTCATTGTATCGATCAGGGTTCCTAAGTTTTGGGGGGTTTTTTTAATATTTTGTTTTAATTAACCAGGATTATTTCTCACTGCTACTACTGTTGCTCCTGCTACTATCAGCTTCTGATCTTCCTCCTTTCTCATAGCCCAGGGCCTCTCTTTAGGGAACTCCACTGCCGACTTGCAAGTCCCCTTCTCATTCAACCCTGGATTTTTAACCGGGACTGGATAATAGCCAGCAAAGCTGCCAAATAGTATCTCTCCCCACTGAAGTGCCCTGGAGGGTCTCAGGGTGACTTATAAGGTCCTGAGATTTTCTCTTGCCATGGTGAACAGCTTCTCCTTTGGTGCTAGAGTGCACCACTCATGCAGCATGCTCTCGGTCCAACTGTGGAAAAGTCACTGTCCGCTGACTTTCCGGTCTGTCCCCCTATACTGTTTGGCTAGACAAATGATTCACTGCGTCTTTTTCTGAATTTCCCCAACAGAATTCAACCTGATGCATTTTCTAGATCTTTTAGGAGTAATTTGTAGAGAGGAGCTTACTGAATTATTTCCTATCACTCTACCATCTTGGCACCATCTTCCCAAATCCTGCTTTCAAACCATTCCTCTACAATTCTTCAATGACTTTTCATCTTTTGAAATTAATACACAAATCTTCATATCCCCAGTACTTAACATAGTACCTGACACAAAGTAAGTACTTAATAATTCTTGAATGACTGACCTAATAGCCTCGTATCTATTAATATAATTCATCTATTATAACAGTTGAGCAAATTCTCACTAACCTGTTACTCTAACCCTGTATTACTTAGCAATTACCTAGAAGCCAAGAGTATTGAGTATAAAGCTATAAAGGAAAAATGTACCTTTAATGAAATAGAGGACTTCCAAGAATTCCTGATGAAAAGACCAGAGCTGTGTAGAAATTTTAAAGTTCAAACACAGGAGTGAAAAGAAACATAAAACAGTAAACATGAATGAACAATGATAAATGAATAAATGAGGATAAACTGCTTACATTCAAATATGAGACGACACAAGTGCCCCCTCTGAATTCCATCATCATCATCAGGGATTATAGATGGAATCTAATTGAGGGAAGCCTAGAAATGGTTATTCTTGATGATCTTAAGAGAAGAATGAAAAGACACAGGAAAAGGAATATACTGGAAGAGGGGAAAGGAAAAGAGGATTAGGGAAAATTATCTCACATAATTACAGTACATACACAGACATCTATACAAAGAAAGGGGAAAGGATGGGGGTGGAATGGTTAACACTTGAACCTCATGCTCATGTTGGTCAAAGGAGGAAAGAATTCACACACAACACACACACACTCGCACATACTTTCAGGCGAGTATAAAAATACATTTCACTCATCAGAGAAAAGGGAGGAAAAGGGAGAAGGGGTGAGAGGGAATTAAAGGGAAAGTAGAAAGTAGTAAAACAAACTCTAAGGATGTAAAAAATATTTACTGTTCTTTCCAAGGTGGCAAAGAATGGGAATCTCAGAGGCTGCCCATAAACTGGGGAATGGAAAGTTATGGTATATGAATATGATGGAATATTATTGTGCTGAACTCTCATCAGTGTAATGACCAACCACAATTCCAGAGGATTAATGATGAAACATTCTACCCACTTCCTGATATAGAAATAAAGGAGTTAAAATGAAGAATGAGATAAGTATTCTTTTTGGACATGACCAATGTAGAAATCTGTTTTGACTATACATGTATTGTATACAATGTATTGACTATACATGTTTGTAATAGGGTTAGTTCGTAGTGTGTTCATGGCTGGTGGAGGTAGAGGTAAAGGAGGGAAAAGTTGAAAGGGAGAGGAAGAAGGAAGATTTTGGCTGACTAAAACAAATAATTTTTTAAAAACTACTATAGAGACAAACTAGAGAAGGCAATTATGCCACAGGATCATTCATTGTTAACAGAGCAACAATTCTTGTCTATGAGCATCCACTAGGTCATGAAGAGCATTGTTTGTTATACAGGCAGTCTTTATAATGGTATTTTACCTGTAGCATATTTCAAAGTTAAAGACAACATTTGTCTAGCAAATCAAATCTTGTTTATTCTGTTCAATTTCCCTACATATAAAATGTGCACACACATATATATATTATATAGACAGAGTCTCTATAGAATGTTTTCTACAAAAATATCCAGAGAATGGCAAATTCTAGCGGGCAGTGGGCTTCCAAATGAAATTTTGCTTCTCACCAATTTCTTTAACAGGATTCATCTCCTGTGATTTACATTGGATCTGTGTTTCCAAGGGCTGGAACTGAATATTTTGTGATTCCTGTGTTGCTTCCATAGGCACTATCTCCTCCAAGAACATTTCCTGTTTATGAGCATGAGTTGGAACCTAGGGGCAATTAAATACAGTCAGGTTTGTGAAGCAATTACCAAGAACCAGAGTTTAAATATTAGAAACTAGGGGCAGCTAGGTGGCGCAATGGATAGAATGGCCTTGGAGTCAGGAGACCTCAGTTCAAATCTGACCTCAGACACTCAACACTTAGTAGCTGTGTGACCTTGGGTAAGTCACTGATTGCCTCACAAAAAAAAAACAAATAAATAAATAAATGAAAATTTGCAAAAATATAGCAGAAACTAGACCACAAGGAACTTTCCCCTAGGGGCACAGGGCAGGAAAGGAAGAACAAGTGTCTAATTTAATTCCTTGAGGCCTGGAGAAGCAAAAAATAGGAGAAAAAGTAAAATACAGAGAATTGAACCATGCCTACTAATTATCACTGTTTTTCTTTTTTCCTGCTAGTTAGTTCAAACCCTTATTCTTCTAAAACAGCTCACACCTCCATTTCCCACCTGCTCTCCTGACTCATCAAACTCTCTCTCCAAATCCTCCAGCACAGTCACTGCTTCCTCTCCACTCACGGGACGATGTTCCCACACCCAGGTCTGGAGCTCCTCAGGGAGGATGTTGAGAAATTGCTCGAGCACCAGCAAGTCCAGAATCTGCTCTTTTGTGTGCACTTCTGGTCTCAGCCACTGAAGGCAAAGTTCTCTCAGCCTTCGAAGAGCTTCACGAGGCCCAGGGGTCTCCTGGTAACAGAATCTCCTGAACTGCCTCCGGAAGATCTCTCTAGTATAAGGGTCATTCCTCTGTAGTCCAGATTCCTGCCCCCATGTATGAGTCTCCTCCTCCACCTTCACTGTCAGAAATTCCTCCTGTTCCTCTGGCGCTGGAAGGGTCAAAGCTGCTGCCATTTTAAGGCTGTAGAGTTTAAGAGGTTCACTTCCTAGGAGGGGGTGGTAGTGGTTCTTTTTTTATTATTTTCCCGTGGTCATTTCTTTGGGGGCAGTCCAGGGATCTAAGAAATAAATTGTTAACATAGAGAAAGTATAAACATACTAACAGTCTAATAAAAAGCAGACACTGGGATGATTCATTAAAAGAAATAAACCTCAATATCAGGGAAAAACAATGAGTATAAGATTAATGGTTACTCGTATGATGAAGGTAATACAAGATAAATGACAAGGTAAGACAGAAAGGAAAGATTAGCATATGTACAAAAATATTCATAACCACACTTTTTGAGTTAGGAAGATGTGGAAACAAAGCTGGGGAATTAGGGAAGGTTGGACAAATAGTAGTATATGAATGTAGTGGATTATTATGGTAGCATAGGAAATAACAAATATGAAGGATTCTGAGAAACTAGATGAATGAGTGAAAATAAAAAAGCATCTATTACGTGCTTACAGTGTGTCAGGCACTGTGCTAAGAGCTGGGGATACAAATAAAAAAAAACAAAGACAAGCCTTGTCTGGAGCTTACATTCTAATAGGAGAAAGACACACATAGGGAGGTAGCCAGGAAGAGGAGTTTTGGTGTCAAAGTCAGAATGATGAGTACAATCACAGGGAAGTAGACTGACAAACTCTATTCCAGGGGAAACAGTAATTGATCTGATTACAGTTCATAGTTCGAAGAAGGAGCAAAGTGAAGCACTTGTTGGGGCTTTCCTAAAACTATTCTTGGAGTAATCACTAATTAGGACAGTGAGACCCCAGAGTAGAAGTTCCAAAAAGGCATGGTGAGGTTAAGGTGGTCCAGGAGGTAATTCCTGAACTATCACTGCACTGACTGGTTGGTCCCCAGAGGGCAGCTGAATATTTCTCCCCTCAAGATTCTAGGGATAAAGCTAAGACGCTAGGGTTTCTAGAACTGTCATGAGCACCTACTGGTGGACTCTTCATTGATTATCAAAGTTAATTAACTTCTAAAAAGACTTCTAAGCCGCTATAGCAAGGAGAGTTGTTATAGTAACATCTCTCCAAGGGAGAGTGGATTTCCACTAACCTGGAACTATGAGTATGTCCTATGGCTACATGTTTTCTCCAAGGAGTCCACTCTTCCTTTATGGAATTCTCATGACATTCATGAGACAGCTAAGTAAATTAATATAAAGAGAGAAGAGGGCCCATGACAGAACTCTGTGAGACAATAAACATACCGAATCTGACAAAGGCATTCTTGATATGTTCGCTGTTTTGGGGGAGGTAAATTCATTCAAGGATACAAAAGAGCCTAGAAAGGTCAATAAAAATGACTTACTAATTATACTTTATTATTATTAAGAATATCTTAATGCTACCTTCTCCATTATATTCATTATTGGGAGAGAAGAGGCTATGACAAAATAAGACAAACTTCAAGGCTATCTTGAAAAAAAAATATAACAAGGGGCAGCTAGGTGGCAAAGTGAATAGAGCTCTGGCCCTGGAGTCAGGAGGACCTGAGTTCAAATCCAGCCTCAGACACTTAACACTTACTGGCTGTGTGACCCTGGGCAAGTCACTTAACCCTGATTGCCTCACCAAAAAGAAAAAAAAGTATAACAAGAGTTTACATTTATATAGCATTTAATTGTTACAAAGTATTTTATATTCATTATTTTACTTGATACTTATATTAACTTTGTGAGATAAATAAAAGCTTTTCTAAATAGGAGTATTAATATCTCCACTATTATGATACATGGTAACAGTTCTTCATACTTATACAAAATTTTATGACTTAATAAAGAAATTTCAGAGATCAAGACCATTTAATGTAAGTTCCCTGGAAATAGGGAGTTTCATTCTTTGTATTGTATCTCCAGTGCCTAGGACAATGCTGGCACATAACAAATGTCTGTGGATTTACCAACTGATGAAAGTGGAACACTTCTGTGTGATGGCAAGATCTAAGGTTCACTGACCCTGTGTATGTGGGATGGAAATCTGAAGTGGAGTGAAAAAGTAGGTCATGAGAGTTGAGAAGATTAAGGAATCAGGAAGTTAAGGTATTTGAGAGAACATCAATATTTAATATTTACATTGAAATTCCCTAGAAAGAGTTGGCATGGAGAGAGAAACTATGAACCAGGAGCTGAACCTACTGTAAAAAGAGGGCGAATGTCCTGGGAACTGGTAGGTAACAATTGGGGATGTGAACTTTAGGCTTCCACCAGCAGGGTGATCTGAAAGGGGTGAATTTCTCCTCCAAAGAATTCACAGTCTTGCCCCAATTTTTCTTCTTTGGGAGTGCCCAACTTTCACCCTGGTCACTGGAGGACAGTATGCTCAGAGGTCCAGCACACAATCAAGTTCTAATAGTGTGAGGGAATTTGAATAGTACAAACTATACGCATTTGAAGTAAGTTAGCTGTCTGCAGTTTCAAGGTACTTAATTAGTGATGCAATGGAAAAAAGCATTTAACTTAAAGTTACTGGACCTGAGTTCAAATCCCACTCCACACGTACCACATGTGTGACCCTGGAGAAGTCATTTAGCTTCTCTAGTGGGCTTGTTTCCTTATTTTTAAAATAAGGATGTTGGTCCTCTAATTTATAGTATTAAACTGACACTTTCGTATATGATATATTTACTTTTCTTTTGGTCAACAATCTGCTCTTCCAAGGAATTAGTCCTGGAAGCTATTCTTGGGAATTGTCTACATACCTTTAATTCTACCTCCAAGCCTTTTTTAGCCTATTTAGTATCTAAAGAAGTGAGGTTCACCTTCCTTTGGCTTCAAGGAGAGATTCCCCTCACAGCTATCTGATCTGCCAATTCAACTGGTATCCCTTGGAAACTTATTATGCCTTTCACTTAATGAGAATATGGGTTCACTTAATGAGAATTCAGATTCCTTGATATAAGGTTGGGAACTCCATCAGAATATCCTAAGTTCTCTTTTGATCTGTTTTTTTTTCTTTTTAAAATTTTGATAAAGTATCCCATGTTATTCTTGTAAAGAAGATGGAAAGATATGGACTAGATGATAATAAAATTCTATTAATTCAGAAGCAGATAGCTAGGTAGAATATTATTATTATAATTAGTAGTAGTAGTAGTAGTAGTAGTAACATCTAGCATTTATTTGTCGTTGTTCAGTTGTTCAGTCATGTCCAACTCTTCACGACCCCAAGCACACCAGGCCCTTCTATCCTCCACTATCTCCCAAAGTCTGTCCAGGTTCATGTTTGTTGTTTCCATGATACTATCTATCCATCTCATCCTCTGCCATCCCCTTTTCCTTTTGCCTTCAATCTTTCATAACATCAGGGTCATTTCCTATGACTCCCATCTTCTCATTATGTGGCCAAAGTATTTAAACTTCAGTTTCAGTATTTGACTTCCAGTGAATAGCCTAAATTAATTTCTTTAAGTATTGACTGATTTGACCTTCTTGCTGTCCTCAAAAGTCTTTTCCAGCACCACAATTTGAAAGTGTCGATTTTATGGCATTCGGCTTTCCTTATAGTTCAATTTTCACAGCCATACATTGCTATTGGAAAAACTGTGGCTTTGAATATATGGACCTTTGCTGGCAAGGTGATGCTTTTTAGTATGCTGTTCAAATTTGCCATAGTTTTCTTTCCAAAGAGCAAAGGTCTTTTCATTTCAAGGCTGCAGCCACTGTCCACAGTAATCTTTGGGCCCAAGAATATAAAATCTGATAGTTTCCATTTCTTCTCTCTCTTTTTGTTAGGAAGTGATGGGACCAGTTTCCAAGATCTTAGGGGGTTTTTTTGTCTTGTTTTTTACTTTTTTTTTAATATGGCACTTTAAAGTTTGCAAAGCACTTTCCACATTATCCCATTTAATCCTCACAACAACTAAGGTAGGTACTATTATTTACATGGGAATACCATTTTACAGATAAGGAATCTGAAGCTGAAAGAGGAGAAGTGGTTTGCCCTAATGGTTAAATGTCAACATGGCAAGATGTCTCCAGCAGAGTACCTCAGGGATCCCTGTGGCCCCTGTGCTGTTTAACATTTTCATCAATGACTTGGATAAAAGCACAGATGACACACATGCTTTTCAAATCTGGAGAGAGACAAATCTGGTTGATTAGCACACTGGATGACAAGAGTCTGGATGTAAAAATATCCTGATAGACTGAAGCACTGGGCAAAATCTAATCTGCTGAATGGGTACAAAAATTCAACTTCTCAAGTACTAGTTGGAGGAGGCATAGTTAGACATCATTTTGTTTAGAAAAGATCTGAGGGTTTTAATGGACAAGCTCAATTCATTCTCAGGCCTCTCTCCATTCCAAAACTATCTTCCAGACTACTTCCAAAGGAATTTTCCTACAATTCTGATTGTACTACCCCTTATTTACTTATAAGATCAAATTTAACTTCCTCTTTTTGACAGTTAAATCTCTTCACAACCTGACCCATTCCTATCATTTTCACTCTTGTTACACAGTGCTCCTCTCCTTACACTGTACGATCCGACCTTACTGGCCTATTCACTGGTCTGCACACATGACACTCCAGTCTCCCACCTATCCATGCCTTTGCACTGGCTGTTTCTAAGCATCATCTTCTACAATGAAACCCTTCCTAACACCACCCCCCCAAACAGTTACCAGTTAACTACCCTCCCAAAACTACTTTGCAATCATTTTATATTTCTTATATGTATATGTATTCATGTTGTCTTCCTCATTAGAATATAAGTTCTTTGAGGGCACTGATAGCTTCACTTTTGTCTTTTTATCCCCAGCACTCGGCACAGTGTCTGACATACAGTGCTTGCTGACTGAGTCACCGGTGGGAACCAAAAAGACTAATAAGGGTTTGGGCTACATAGAGAGGCATAGCTTTCAGGAATAAGAAAGTAATAGTTTCATTGTATTCTGCCCTGGTCAGACTTCACCAGGCATGCTATGTTCAGTTCTGGACATCACAGTTTAAGAAAGACATTGATATGCTGAAAATTATCCAGAGGAAGACAACCAGGATGAGGAAGGAACTTGGATCCATGTCATAGAAAGTTTGGTTGAAAGAACTGGAGTTGGGGCAGCTGGGTGGTAAAGTAGATAGAGCACCCACTTTGGAGTCAGGAGGACTCAAATCCGATCTCAGAAACGTGAGATTTTCTAACTGTGTAACACTGGGCAAGTCATTTAACCCCAATTACCTCAGGGAAGAAAATAAAGAAAAAAATGGGGTTACTTAGCTTAGAGAAGGCTCAGGAGAGACATAAGAGGTCTATATGAAGAGCTGTCATGTGAAGGAAGGATTAGACTTCTGTTTGGCCCTAGCAGCCAGAACCAGGAGAAATGAGTAGAAGCTGCAGAAAGGCAAATTTAGGCTTGATGTCAGGGAAAAAACTCTGTAATAATCTGAGCTGTCCAAAGGTAAAATGGGCTGCCTTTAAAGGTGGTGGATTTCTCCCATGAAGTCTTCAAACAGAGCATAGATGTTATAGTACAGATTCCTTTCAGGTATGAGTTGGACTAGAAGTACACCGGATTCTCTTACAAATACCAAATTCTGTAACTATGATTCCTGTTCTTGTCCATAAAGCTTTTCTAGCAGACCAGTCACCTAAGACTTTCCAAAACATTCTAATTTTTTTTCTCTCCAAACTCACAGTATGTCCAAAAGCTACATGCAGTCCTGAGTTACAACTATTTTTGGTCTATCACAGATGGTCTACCAGAGATCAATACATCCCTGGCCTCTGTGTACCTCATACCCACCAGATACACAATTAACAAATTTCTTTACACAAGAAAATACATTTTAATACATGTACATTTTAGCTACAGTTAAATTTCCCTAGCTCTAGTCAAGCTGAAGCTTCTTATATTCACCATAACTCTAACAGAGTTACTTCAAATAATGCAAAACAACAAACACCTAAAAATACTCTTATCAATTCAAATTCCAGCTCAAGAACTTTCAATAGCTCCTTAATGTTTAACGATTATGGAGTCAAAACTATACAGCTTGGGGGCAGTGAGGTGGCACAGTGGACTGAGCACCAGCCCTGGATTCAGGAGGACCTGAGTTCAAATACGGCCTCAAACACATAACACTTACTAGCTGTGTGACCCTGGGCAAGTCACTTAACCCCATTGCCTACCAAAAAAAAACCACAACTATACAGCTTGGTAGTCAAAGTCCTTAACAATATGGCCCCCATCTTTGTTTCTGGGATGCTACCCCAGTACTTCCATAAATGAGCTCTCAGCCTAGCCACGGTGGTGTCCTTGCTGTTCCCTGAACATGCAAAATGCAGTGTAAAGAATATTGAAAGAGGACTTAAAAGACTCAGGCTCTAGTCCTGAACCTAGATCAACCATTAGCTAGTTTGGGCAAGTTACTTAACCTTTCTTGGCCTCAGTTTCCTTCTCTGTAAAATAAGATGATGGGACTAGACGATACCTAGGGTCCTCTTCTATTTCCAAGTATCTCTCCACTTTTGCTCATTCTGTTTGCCTCCTCTCTACTTAACCATATCCTGCTCATCTTCATGTGTGAGGCTGGGCTCAAGGTTCTTCTTTGTGAAGACTTCCCCAATTATTCCAGCCCACAATGATATTGCCCTAACTTGAACTCCCACAACTTACTATTTTATAATCAGTCAGATACAGACCTTTATTATTATTTGATTTTTCTGTTCTTATGACTTATCTGCCACCTACTTGTCAGGATTGTAGTGGAGAAAGCTTTAACGTGTCCTATAATTGTGGGTTACCATTACCATCTCCCCACTAGACTATAAACTCCAGACAGTATGAACATCTACTGTTACATCTCCCATAGCACCTAATTCAGTAGTAGGTGAATATATACACACATACATGCATATATGTATACATATAGCATCAAAAAAATTCAAATATTTGAGTAGGTTTGTAGATCCAAAACAGAGCCATAAACGCACTCAGTTATGGATCTTCTTTACTATTAAATCCTAACCTGATTGAAAAGAGAATAAGCATCCATGCATAGTAGCAAAGGGAAGTTGTTCATTAATAATGAGAACCAGGTTGTGATCAGAGGTAATCCAGTTAGTTATTAAAGGATGGAAAAAATGAAGAATTAAATTGAGAAGATGCCCATCAATTGGGGAATGGCTAAGCAAGTTGCGGTATATGAATGTAATGGAATACTATTGTGCTATAAGAAATGATGAACAGGCTGACTTCAGAAAAACCTGGAAAGACCTATATGGTCTGATGCTGACTGAAGTGAGCAGAACCAAGAAGACTTTGTACACAATAACAACCATGTTATGTGGTGACTAATATTGTTAAACTGAACCCTTCTCAGCATTACTAGTATCTAACACATCTCCAGAGGCCTCGGGATAGAAAATGCTGTCCACATCCAAGGAAAGAACTATGGAAGTCGAATCGCTATGACTTATTTTTACCTTCTGTTGAGCTTTGTTTCATCTTTCTGATGGTTCCTCCTATTGGTTTTAATTTTTACTTACAACTTCACTAATGTGAAAATATGTTTAATAGGAATGTAAATGTAAAGCCTATATCAGATTGTGTGCCTCTTGGGGGGGGGAGTGGGAGAAAAATTTTCAACTCAAAAGCATATGGAAGTGATTGTTGATAAATCAATAAATTAATAAAATTGGGGGAAAAAAGAAAAAATCAAGAATTAAATGCAAAAGATAATAACTAATAGCACTACACGACTATAGTGACCACGTTTAGACCCAGAGGAAAGTTGAAAAAATTTACCTTTTTTCATTAAAGTCGGGGAAACTATGGATGTGGAATATTGCATATACTTGCTTGTTGAAGGTCTTTGTTAATGTACATTTGTGAGTATCTCCCTTAATGTACATTTGTGAGTATCTCCAGTTAAGCATCTATTTTGTGTGGAGGAAATGGTTATTCTATACCTGATTTACATTTTACTCTGAATACCTTTTGAAATGGAGTGGATGCATTTGTTTTGCTGATTGCTGTTACAAAGCAAAGGTTCACTAAGAGGAAGGAGTATATTTGAAACTGCATATGACATAAAAACAAAAACTATGATAAAAAAATTCAAAAACCAAAGAATCCCTGATGGAGTAGATCGAACACTGGACTGGGGATCAATGGCCAGGATTATAATCTTACCTGTACTACAAATACACTGTATCAATTTGGGCAAATAAATTTACCGAACCTCTTTGCCGTGTTTTCCCATCTGTCAACTGAAGGAGCTGGCCTAGACCCTAGACAATACCTAAATTCCAGCTCCTACACTCTGTGATTTTATGAATATTTACTTCCTACATCTGGAATACTTGATGTCACAGGTGTTTCTTTTCTCCACTGATGGAGATGGAAATCTCTGTCCATCTTAGGAAATGGTCATTTTGAGTTGCTATGGTTGAAAAAACTCCTCATCAGGTGGATAATTTCCGGGGGGTAACCTCTCCTCAGTTAGCTAGGTTGGTCCTTCACACACACAAATACTTAAGTATTTCAGTATTTTCTCACAACTGAAGCCAAGGAGAAGAATCCTGAACAGCTCGTGTTCTGCGGGCACTCCCTACCCTTCCCCAGACCCAGACACCCCCAAGCTACAATGAGGCATCATAATAAAAACTGTAGCCGAGGTAGGACTTTATTAAATTACATTCAAACTAGCTTGAAAAAAAACTGATTCAAATTAGCCCTGTTTACAACGTAAAGTAAGCCCACAGTAGACCGAGGCTCCGCCAAGTCCCGGGGCGCCACGCCTGTGCCCGGGGCCCGGGGCCCGCAGCCCGGCCTCCCCGGCCACAGGCGACAGGAAGGACAGGAGGCTCGAGCGGGTAGTCCGCCTCAGCCCCAGGGGGGCCGCCGATCCCTCCCCCGCCCGGCCCCACCCAGGTATCCTCGCAGCCCCCGCCCGCTCAGCCTCTTCTCCGAAACAGCAGCGCTTCCGGCTGCAGAGGGAGGGACGGAAGGAGAAGGGGGGTCCTCCGCACCCCCGACCTGGGACGGTCCAAAGGGACACTATCCCACTCACCGCGAGCTTCCGGGGTGTTTGGGGAAGATTCAGACCTGGAGAGGGAGGGACCCTTGGACGCAGACCACGAGCCTCCGAAACCCTTGACAACCAGGACCCCGGAAGTAAACTGCGGAGACCAGCCCCTTGCTCGGAGTCTGTCAGCTCTAGGATGCCCGGAGGCTTCCTCATCTCGGTAGTCTTCCACTCGATCCTCCCAGCCGCTCAACAGACGCGAGTCGCATTCGCCACAGTTTGGTGCAGCTCGTGAACAGCAGTGGGCAGATCTACAACTCCTCTATGACATTTCTGTCAAAGTTCTGGGCTCCCAGCAGGCCAGATTCCATCTTGGAGGCTTCACAATCATATGGCTTGTGATCCCACCCGGGTTTCACCTTGTAACATAAAAATTTGGCCAGTTTTACTTCCACCCTGGGTTTACATGCATGGGCACGCTGGAATCTGGCTGTTTCTACGCCTCCATAAAACAGTCCTCAGTTCCCATTCAGAAGAAGCAGGATTGACCAGGGAAGCCATGATATCCTGGCCTGGGGCACCTCCACCATGGTGCTGGACGTGTGCCATCGTCCTTTGCTGGAGGATAGGAACCTTACTTGGAAGACATGGGAAGGTCCTTTGATTGGCCCCTGTTGAGTAGAGCTGTTTCTTGATGATTGGCTCAGGATAATGAGATTTCCTTTTATTTTGGACCGTTTTTTTGCAATGGCTTCAACGGAATGAGGTGGGAGAAGGGAAAGATGCCTTCGACCTCACCCTCATCCTCACCTTCACCCCACTGCTTTCTGGAAGTCTCAGGAAGAGAACGTGTTGGAGAAGAGTCATGAAGGAAGGAGATGGGCAGATGTTCCTTGACAAGAGTCCCTTCTCCTGGGCCTCAGGCAAAAGACAGGTCCAGTCATTAGGGACCAATCAGAGGAACCCAATGTGTTCTCCTTTAAAAAGGGACCATGGCACATGTCCAGCTCCATAGAAGATGCCTCAGTCTAGCAAATCAAGGAGGTCTTCTTATTATGGTGTTACAAAAGCACACAGGTTAATAGTGATCAAATATAGGGATTTTTTAAATTAACCTTTAACCTGATAAAAAATGCAAAGAACTCATCCTGGAACTCATAAACAATTCAGACACCTCTTCTCTACTTTTCAGTGGGTTTATGCCTTCCTTAAGAACCCACATGGTGATCTAAATTTATAATGCTACTCTGGGTGAGAGTCACTAGAACAATGGTATTCAAAATTTGGGGATTATGTTGTCCTAGTTAAAATTTTTTTGAGTATGCACTCCCAAATACCTATAAATTATACTCATGTGCTACTTGTTTTATATATTATAAAACATACACAAAAGTAGAAATTTAAAAGGGTGTAATAAAGATGAAATAAAAATATTTAAATCATTTTCACTTTACTTATTAATAGTACAAAAAATCTTTTTTTAGAAAAATTATTGTGTAGCCTTGGGGTACTATATTGCTCATATTACCATAATTACTAATATTATTATTATGTAGCCTTTCCTGAGACTCAGGAAAATTAAGAAATTAGGCGAAGGGCAGTCACATGACAAGAGATGGAGGACTAGGTATTTTCTTTGATCCCCAACATCTCTCAAACCTCTCCAAAACAGAAATTATGCATCAAAGATAAAGCAACTACAGCTGTCTTCATGGTCCCACCCAGAACCCAAAAGAAAGTTAAAAAAAAAACAAAACAACACCCTATGAACTGATACCTACCCTTAGCTCACACAGTACCTCCTCACCTATGTTACTATGTTTCTGGTAGCAAGGCTGCACTAGCCAGTCTGACCTTCAGGTTTGCAACAAAACCCAAACCCACATCCCTCCCTCTTACTAGTGCCATGGAGCCAACTCTAGGCTGTGAAAGTTTGCTTGGTGGCCAAGTGCCTTGGTTGGCACTGTGCTACCAAAAAATTTCTGCAGGAGACAGAGGGAAAGAGGCAGGAAATGTCTCTGACCTTGAAAGAGAGTTCAACCCCACACCCCAACCCCTCCCTTCTCTCAGAGGCTTGGAGACCAAACTCCAAATAACAAAAATCACCCCTGGGTGATTAGCACTGTCAGGCAACATAATTGAAGAACAGAAAGATCAGGATAGGTCACAGTGTGTGCCCACAGATGTCCTTGGGCACCTAGGGAGTGGCAGTGTGCCACTCCACTGAGCCTGAGAGAAAGAGCCCTGTAGCTAGTTGGGGCCAATTTTAGAACCCCAAAGTCACTTGGGACAGAGACTTAGGCCAGCAAACCATGAATTGCCTCCCATGAGAGAAGGCTGAGAAACTTTGAAATCTAACCCTGAGGGAAACCACTATTATAGGATAAGGAGTCAGAAAATGAGCAATGGAGGGGGGGGGGAGAGGAGGGAGGAGACTGAAATTATCAAATTTCTCAGGAGGAAGAAAACTTAAAGACCTTGAACATGAGCAGATAAATCAACATTAAGAACAGAAGGAAGTATGGCTCCTGATCTAGTAAAAGAGTTCAGGCATCTCAAAACAAAGGTAAACAATTGAACGCTTGATGAGACAGAGAACCCTGTGGAATTTGAGAAGAACATGGAATCACAATACACTGTTCCAGAGTAGTTTAAAAGAAAAATGAGAATTATGAGAGCAGAATTTATGGTCTGCATAGCAAAAATAATGGGCAAAATAGAAAAACTTGAATCTGCAATGGCAAGTCTCACCAGAGAAACAAAAGAGAACAATTAATTGGGAATGCAAATATACAGAAATAAAGGACAATCTAGAAGAAAAGCAAAAAAAAAATTGAAAGAAAATATACTCACTAGCCAAATAAGACATCCTGATTTCAAGACAGAATGCATAGAAGCAACTTAAGGATTATGAATCTCCAAGAAGAACACAAGTCAAACACCTTGACATCATAATGCAAGAAATAATACAAAAACGAATTAACCAGGATCACAAAGACTTTGTAGAACTCCTGTAGTGCATGGGGACGGCCAATGGAACATGCTCAAAGCTACCCTGGCAGCTTCCAGACACAATGTAACTCAAAGTCGAAGGGACTGGAGTTTGGGGTTGACAGAGAGAATCTGTCTCTTTCCTCTCCTACTCTTCCCCCCACTCCCAGCTGGAGGAGGGCAGGGCACAGCATCAGTTTAAAAAGGAAAGATAGTGTTGACCCTCTTTCTTGTCTTTCTTCTCTTCAGAATGTACAGCATGGAAGATTCCTTCTCCAGTAGGTCCTTTTAGGAATAAAGGAAGGGGTGAGTACCTTCTCCCAATCTGGAAGCATAGTAGCTGCTACCACGTGCTCTGCCCAGGTGAGCCTAAGCCTGGGCCTTGGTCCCCAGCTTCCTTTCATGTAACTGAACAGCAGTCTTGAGAAGGACACATCCATGAGGCAGCCTTATGAGTTTGAGAGATCAGAGGATCTTGGATTCCTCATTTAAAGCTGATAGGCAGCAAGTGAAGTATTCTGCAACTACATCCTTCTTGGAGAATATGACTGAGAAATGAGTGAAAGCCCTGGTCTGGTCTGTTAGAGAACATGGACCTAGAAGGAATTATTTGGACAATGTAGAGAGACGTCCAAGTGAAAAGACAATTAAAAAGTCCCATAAAATGTTCATGTTTTGATGTTTTAAGTCTCAGTCTTATGAGCATGACAGTAGTTATAAGCTATTGCTACTCGTCAAAGTTAAAGTTAATGTGCACTTAAAAGCCTCATGTCATTTTTGTGTGAAGATGGTTGTCCTATACTTGATTTTCATTTTACATTGAATACTTTTTGAAATGGAATTTAACTATAAACCAAAGTAACTACATATTTAAGAAATTCGGGACTGCAGTAGCTTACTGAGTAAGCACAATGTAAAACTGCGTATGTGAAGAAACATCCTGCACTATTTGTCCATTTCCAATAGATATTTCTTTGCTGAAGTTAATTGTCTGTACCACATATCACATATGTCCTCTTTGTACAGATGCCTTGGCTATACTTAACTGGATCTACCATATATCTTTCATTTATATCTTTTTAAAACATTTATATCTTTTTTTTAACATTTTAAGCATTTTAACATGTTTAAATGTTTAATGTTAAATTTTTAACTTTTTAACATTTTAAAAACATTTATATCTTTTTAACCATGTTTCTTACCTGAGTTTGTTTTTCTGTATTCCCATGTTTTCCTGTACCTTGTTAGTGTAAATTTAATAAATCAAAGTAGAGTAAGCATTTTCTTTGATTTTGTTGCTTTTAGATTTGATTAAAATTAACTAGATTAAAATTAGACTAATTAATTTAAAATTATATTAAAATTTCATTGAGTTAGTACTCGAAGATATCATCTCTCTGTGCAGCTCCCTTGCTTGCAATTTTAAAAACTGGTATACTGTTTTCTTTATTTCCATCACACTTTCTACTCCCTCCTTTTGGGAAGACCTTAGACATGAGTCAAATCTAAACTTTAAGTTAAGGACTGAATTGGGTTTGTCTGTTTGATGAGGCCAAGTATCTTCCATGACCCAATAGCAATGTAGTTAGTTGTTCTTACACTAGTAACAAGGACACTAGATAATTTCCCTAGGATCACAAATACCTTCTTGAAATGATTAAGAATCTTCAGACTAGAGGATTCATAGGCACTAGAGAGGACTTTGTTTATGTGGAGGTTCCAATGGCATTGAGAAAGGGATTTCCATACAAGTTTGGGGAACCTGAAGGGAGAATTGAGGGGAGAGAACAAAACACATGTGGAACATGGACTTTGTTTAAATATTTACCTACATTTTATGTCATTTAATACTGCTAATAAGTTACAGTGATTTATATCTAAACCTATTTGTAGTTAAATATTGAAAGAGGAGAAGCTTGATCATGGCAAAATCCTTGGTTTTCTCTGGGATGGTAGCCAAGCCTATTAGACAGAGTTCCTGCAATTCTGATAATTTCCAATAATATTCTAAACTAAAGCATACTCCCTTGAGCCCAATTTTCTTTCTGAAAATTAATAAGGATATAATCCAGTAACAGACACTTCAATATGGTTGTCAACCTGAAAGATACCCTGCATCATTACTGACACTTTATACCATCTTTACAATTAGTAATATTAATAATAATTTAGTGAGGGTAATGTGATTAAATATGCTTCATTATTTTTTAAAATCTTGACTTAATATTTTATAATATAGAAATTTGAAGATATGATTTTAAGTTCAGTTTATTTCAATGCTAAGTTTTAATGGCTGTCATAGCTGAAAAATATGCCTCACAAAGATACATAGATTCGAATGGAAGAAATATATCATTGGCTGTCCCATCAACCAATTATGCAGAGGTTTTTGTTGAAATTTGGTTAGCAAATTTCCACTGTCCCTGATGTCCAATTAATTGTTCTTACAAACATTTTTGTGCTTTTAGCAAATGAGTCCAAAACTCACTTAAATTCTTTATTTGAAAGATTTTTTAAAAGGTTAGAAAATTCTGTTTCAAAATTTTTTAAGTGTGCAGATATTAAAGGTTTTACTGATGACATCATTTTAGCAATAAAAGCTTAGTT